GCCCTGGGGACTGAACAATAGAATCTAACCAACTGGAGTCTGAAGATTCGAATCTTACAAATAAGATGTCAGTACCTTGCAAGCAACTGGGAAGAGTTAAGAAGATGACTTCAGTACAAGAAAAGATCTGGTTTAAATTGCTAAATGAGCCCCTTAAACCTCCAAGTCCCAGCTGCCTCCTAAAAAAATGACAAAGTTGAAATAGATGGTCTCAAAATAAACTTGCAAAATGGAACAAGCAAAAGGAATTGGGTAGAAAGTGGCCCAGAATCCTAGAACTCCTTTCCCACTGCCCCATGTCCAGGCTGTTTCCTTCCCTGAGGTCGAGGTAGAAAGCAGCTGCCAAAAGGGTGACTCTCACGCATTTGAGGATGTCACTGATTGATGAGTCATTTGACAATCGCTTACATAATACTCACCTACCAGCCCCTCTCTGAGTCAGCCTCTAAAACCCAAAGTTCATTCCTTAGTGGTAGTTTGTTTGCTTAAAAAAAAAAAAGTTAACAGATTAAGATATAAATACTAAATTACTCCATTTCAGAGTCTGCCTAATGGACTTTGAGAGTCTTTCCCTCCAGCCCTGACTTAAGATCTGCTGAAGGTCTGTTCTTCACGCCCTCATATAAGGCACTCACTTGCTCAGTTTCCAGTTGCAGTTCAGCTCTGACGGTCACATCTACCTATGTTCTCTTACAGCAACAGAAGAACTCAGTTATAAAAGTGCCTTCTTGACAAGAGTTTAAAGTATCCATCCATATTCAACTGCTTTATTTTGATAAAACTGCTGCCTTGCCTGGCTATGACGGAGCCAAGATAAAAGAAGATAGTGGAGAAAATTTCTCCCTAATGGAGAAAATATTACGATCTGGCATCATAAATGTGACTTACATGTTTTTTGTCAATTTTTTTCATGCCAGTTTGCCATGTACTTTGAGAAGACTCCACTAACTTTTAATGCAATGATAAATGATAAAATTCCTATATAACATAGGCAAAGAAAGTAATTTTTTTTCTAGTATTGTCAGTAATAGCCCACCTAGTGGAGGGGGTGGCATGGGGTCCATATACCTCAATATTTCACATCCTTTTTCTGGCCCCTCCAAGTCATTATTTACACCTGTTCTAAAAGAGCTATTATTATTCAAGCTCACTGAGTAGCCTGGCTAAACAAAGAATTTAGAGGTGGTTACCTCACTTCCAAATTTTCCTTCATTATATCTCACATACTATACTGTCTGTGATAGTCTCTTTGGTTGTAGTTTCTTATCAAGTATCCTCATCCTGATTTTAACACTGATATATTGAACTGTATAACATTGATTAGGTGGAAAATTAAATTGAATGCTTTTGCAATATCTTTTTTTTTTTTTAAGTTCACTGAGCACATAATCTGAAGTTTAGTTAACTGTTCTGTAATTCTCAAGTGCACTGGCTGGGGCCTCTAAAATCTCTGCATTAGTTTGGCGGTACAAGCTGCTACAAGCTGTACTGGGTCTTCAGTACAGTTTGTAACATTAACAGACTGTACACAAGAAATACTGCCACTCCCACTGTCTTGTGATACGGTCATGATGCAGCTGACCTATTTGTGCAGATGATCAGTACTGTTTCCCCCTACACATTCATTCTGATAAAGCATATTTAATGCCTTTTAGATAGCTTATGATGAGTCTGTCAGCCAAGGTTCCCAAACCCCTCAGATCAGAGGATTTCCCCGTTTCCCAAGACTCCTGCCTGAGTGTGGAGGCTAAACTGGAGCCAGCAGTTCCCGGGCCCGAGTTCCATCTCCAGCCAGAGGCCCCCAGGTTGTGAGTGTACCAAAGGACTGAGGGAGGAGCACTGAGACCAAAGGAGAGCATCCCAGAAACACCCTGGAAGTGGTCTCGCCCCTCGTCCATGGTGATCCCAGACACCTTCTGACATCCCAGAAGCATGCTGATGACCCTTTTCTCCAGAGCAGAGGTTCCTAAGGTGCATCCACAGACCCGTACAGAGTCTATGAAAGCAATTTAGGGACTTTATAAACTCCCTATTAATGTATATAAAATGTGTATATATACCTTATTCTGGGGAGTAGGCTTCATGGCTTTCATCATATTTTCTGTAATCTAGTCTACAGAAGAGATCTGATGAAGTCTTCAAGTTGGGGTTACTGGGACAGAGAGAGACAGGCCAACTCTGTCACAAATGAGCCCTGAAGCTCTGATATCTAGCCACATCCAATGAGTAAGATAAACTGCCAGATGCCACATTCCAGGAAGTGTCCCCGAACCCACAGAGACTCTTAATGGCCATCCCAAGTATAGTCTGGTCTGTGGAGGGACTTTTAGTACCTGGATATCAGAGACAAACCCAGAAAATGGAAAACAAATATGCTCTGAGCCTAAGGCAGGCTGCATTCTTTAGGGTCCCAAGCCAAGCCTCTGGATGAGAAGAGAGGATGGGAGCCACTGAAGAGCAGTCATCAGCTCAACTGGCTCCTAAGAGCCTGGGGACAGAAGCAGTCCTTCCAACCCCTGCAGAAAGGGAAGGATGGTCACTACAGCCAGTCACCCTCCCTCATCTAATGCCCAAGGTCTTCCTGGATCCTGAAATAACACTGACCCTGCAGAGGGAAGGAAAGCCCACAATTGGCCTAGAAAGCCAACCAGAAAACGAAGTATGAGTCCTAATCTAGCAGATTCAGAAATATCATGTGCTTTGAAGCTAAGGGCTCATTTACACTGTGGTTCTCAAACTTTAGTATGAATAAAGATCACCCTGAATGTTTGCTATATAATGCAGACTGCTAGGCACAGGGGATTGTGATTCAATAGTTCTGGGTAGAACTTAGGTATTTACATCTTTTAAAAGGAAATTAGTAATTCTGATCCCTGGAGTCCATGTAGTATACCTTTAGAAACAGAGTTTCTAGGGATTCCAAGGCACCAGATGTGGAAACGTGGATACATCAAGCGAACCTTCCTTCCCAATCCCCACCACTGCCCCCACCAAAATAAAAGTAGGGACTTCTAGTTACCACTTATTGAGCCCTTCTCTGTGTCAGGTACTATGCTAAATCTTTTACACGGATTATTTTATTTAACACTTATAACCCTGAAGTTCAGAAAGTATAAGTAACTTGCCTAAGATTCCTCAGATCTGAGTACCACAGACAGGACTGGGATCCAAGTCTGAATCCAGAGTCTGTTCTTAACCAACAATCCCATGATTTTGAAAAGAGTTACAATGCCTAATACCTGATGACACCTGAAGCCACATCCCCTCCACAGCTGGGCTGAAGGAGAACCCCATGGGCCACGGCATTACTTGCTTACTGCAAGCACTGAAGAAGAGGAAGCAGCCAATTGGGCAGGCTCAAAGGTCCAGGGTTGAGCCAGACAGAAGGAACTATGGATAAGCTGGGCTGACAAGGTAAGGACTACATTCCTGTAATGCAGAAGGAACAGCAGAGAGAGATTAAAAAAAAAAGAAGTTGGACAAAAGGGGCTTTAAAGGAATTGACCAGCCTCAGAGAAATCAACGAAAACTGTGGAAAATTTGGACAACACAGGGCCACGGCCCCTGCAGGTCTATGACCCCTGATAGTACTGCATTTTACTATTCGGCTGAGAGGGAAAATAATGAGTTCAGTGCACCAGAACCAAGACCAACTTTGGAGCGCAGGACCTCTTATAGGTTCTTAGATCTTCATCTTTTAAAGGGGTCTAACAATAGTGCTTACCCCACAGAGTTACATACAGTGAGAAGTAAATGAGACCATCTGAATAAAGTATTTAGCATAATACCAGAACACAAGAGTTAAACAAGTGTTAGCTGCTATAAGCATTAATTACTACTAATCATGACTATACCCACGCTCACCAAAAAACCACTATGGCATCTTGTTTATTTGTGAAAGACACTGAGATCAAATGTGGTCTCTGTGGATTGAAGTTTTCTCTCTTCAGAGAGAAGATACAGTTAAGGATGTTCTTTTTTTTTTTTTTTTAACTCAATAGCAAAGAAAGTCACATCCCCAAACAGATCAACAATTGATCAAAACAGTGTTTTAGATCTCCCTTAGCCTTTAGTTCTGATGTTATCCAAAAACCAGCTTAATCCAACTGTTCCATCCAAATTTATTCTGAGGGAAAAGTGAAGTGATGGGGTTCTCTGCAACTTTTTCATTCAACAGCTACTTTTTGTGCATCGGAGCTGACTTTGTGACTATTAGCTGAACTCCTGATAGTTTTCAATTACCTAAGGGAGATGCCCCAAACAAATGAACTTTATTTTCAGACAACAGATTCAGGCCACCAAGAAGAACTGACAGCTAAACCACAATGAACATGTGGCTGAGTATTTCTTTACCAGCCAGGAACTCCTGGTATAAGAAGAAAACTCCATCCCTCCACCCCCTCACCTAGCCTGTTTGCTCAGAGTGAAGGAGAACTGACGAGGCAGACTTCTTGAAAAGGGAGGATTTGGATGGTTTTGGATAGAAAGGAATGAAGAGACAGAAGAACCTAAGTCTTCCTATGAAGGAGGGGAAGAGATAGACTATTACCGACCAGATTAAAATCAGAGAACAAGACCAATCAGTGCCTTCAGGATAAACAAGAGAACACTCTGGCTGCTCTGATGAAAAGGTACCAGCTATCTCCAGGGAGGGAGGATAAATGTAAGGAACAGAAATAAATAAGCAGCCATCTACTTCCATATCCTGCATTTGATCTGAACGTGATTTTGCTCCCATTAGTCAGAGGTGACGTGGCTCCCGGCGATGGTGGATCCAGCCTGTCCCAGGCACCCTCACCAGAGAACATATCCATGAGAAACCCAAATTCCTAATTTCTAAACTATTTCCAGTCACCCCCACATTGTGCCCACTCAGGAACAGAACAAGCTTTGTAGAGATATTTTCTAAAAATTTAAAAACTGCATGTTTTAATTCAAGAAATAAAAGTTCACACGCAATCTGGAACAGATATCAGGAATTTGCTCTTAATCAGCCACACCTGCTGCAGAAGTTCAGGCTCCGCATAATCACTACGGCCAGTGCTTCCTGAGATGCTCTTTCAGCTGAGGAATGGAAGGCAGCAGCTGCTGGCACTCATGACAACGGAGAGGAAGCTGCAAGAGCTCAGACATTCCATCTCGCACAGTCACTCTGCCAGCCTCCTGTACCATCTCAATCACAGCTGCAGGCAAGAAAAAAAAGTTCAGAGCCCAGCTACTCTGGAAAGCCAAGATACCAAATAAAAGGAAAATCTGACTACAAATATGCCAGGTTATCTTCAAAGCCAGTACAGTTGAGGTTAAGTTCACTGTTGTGGGAAAGGGGCTTGGTCAGATTCTAAATCTCAGCAACTTATTTTTCAGATGATTACATTCCTTCAGGATACTCTCTAAGCAATCCATGTTACTACGTCAAAGACATCACAGGGCTTTACCCCTGGTAGCCCTTAATCAATGGTAGCTATTGTTGTTAACATCCCAGCACACTGAAGTTCCACAGTATGCACACCAGGAAGGGCTTCCTTCTACATATACACAGCCTTCCCCTGTTAAGTAACCATTCTTGACAGAAGGCAGCTTCCAAGCCTCTCCCAGCCAATGGCAGAAGAAACAAGTAAGTGTTCAGAGCTTTCATACCCATGAACTCCAAAAATTCTCAGGACAATTTTTAAGTCCCCCAGTTACAATAAACAATCTTTTCTGACCCTAATATAACAGCATTCCTACTCCCCCAAGAAGGCTACTCACAGCAGAGCGGCAATCCTACTACAATTCAAGTAATCCAATTTATTTTCATGGGGCTCTCTGTATAAGCTACACAAAGTTGCACATGGGTTTTTGAAGCCAAGTTATTATTTAAGGAAAAACAAATGAATCAAGTATAAAAACAACTGAGAAAATGAAACAAATGTGAAAACCAAAGAACACTGTTTACCTTGTGATTCAAGGAAGTATTCTGTATTGAAAGAATTCCAATGCTTTTTATTCTTAAGGCAAGGAGAATCAAAATCCTGGCTAATCACATGAAGGTGTACATGGCTAGTTGAGAGGAAAAAAAGACTGACCGTTAAACTCATTAAAAACTACAGCTTAATCAAAACGACAAACAGTAAAAGTATGAGTACGTAAAATATTGACGGTGGTTCCATTTAATTCAACTCATCCATTCATTCACTTAAGAATATTTACTGCTCATTAAATACCTACTAGAGCCAAGCACTGTTCTAGCACTGGAATTCAGCAGTGACCAAAATGGTAAAGGTCTATGCCCTTATAGAAATTATATTCTAATGAGGGCAGAAAAATAATAAATAAGTAAACAAATAGACAAGGAAAATTCAAATTGCTAACACTGTTAAGGAAAAAAAAAGAAAGCAAAATGGGATAGAGTGCCTAGTGGGTAGAGACTGCCTCTTTAAACAGCTGGGTGTTCGGGGAAGGCCTCCCCCGGGCAGCAATCTGAGCTGAGAAAGCAGTCAGGCAAGCAAAGCTCTGAGGAAAGAGCCTCAGGAAGTGGGAGGCCAAGTGCAAAGGCCCTGTGATGAGAATGAGCTGTAACCAGGGAACAAAAAGAAGGTAATGTGGCGGAATGGCTGGAAACAAGGAGCAGAGATGAGGTAGGAGCCAGGTCATAAAGGGTCTTATAGGTCAGCAGAAGGTTCGCATTTTATTCCGATTACACTGGGGAGCCACTGAAGGATTTTAAGCAGGTGGGTGATATTATCTGATTTATACTTTAAAAGATCACAGCAACCTCACTTACTACTCATTTTGCTTCCCACCCACACCAGTCATAGCTCTTGCTTTTAGCATTCTCCTTAGCATAGCAGCACTCATTGTATGAAAAAGGTATGGACACCATGATTACTATGTGAAAAGCACTATGGTCAAGGGCTGTTAGTCATGAGCTCTGCAACATTAGGGAAACAGGATTATGGGTGACTTTTCGCAACAAATTTTTTGAATAAGGTTTTAACAATAAAAAATATTTTTTAATGATACACAATAGACATTCATCCTGTAATGTAGCAATTCCACTTCTAGGTATTTACACAAGAGCAGAACAATGAAGTACGTCCATGACATACACAACCTGCCTGAATCTCAAAATCCACTATGCTGACCAAAAAAGACAGAAAAAGAGTACACATTGTATGAGTCCATTTACATGAAGTTCTAGAACAGATAAAACTAAGTTATACTAAAAAAAAAAACCAGGACAACACCTGGGGGTTGAGGGGAGAATTAAGCAGAAAGGAGCACAAGGGAACTTCTGGGAGATGATAGAAATGTTCTGTATCTTGAGCACAGTAATAGTTACATGGTATATACATCTATCAAAACCGATCAAACTATAAATCTTACTGTGCATTTTACTGTATGTAAGTTATGCTTCATTTTAAAATAAAGAGTATTGATGGGGAAAAAATGTGGCACAAAAATTTCATTTGGTTAAAGTGGCCAGTAATCTATGCCCTAATTACCCTCCTAATAAAATGTGAGGAATGTTGGGTGATTAAAAAAAACAATCAATATAGGGAAATGGGTATAGCTCAGTGGCAGAGCACATGCTTAGCATGCACAAGGTCCTGGGTTCAATCCCCAGTACCTCCATTAATATAATCATCATCACCATCATCATCATCATCAACAGAAATTCTGACACAAATTACAACATGGATGAACCTTGAAGACATTATCCTAAATGAAAAAAGCCAGCCACAAAATGACAGATACTGTATGTTTCCACTGGAATGAGGTATGAGGTACCTAAGGTAGTCAAATTCATAGAATCAGAAAGTGGAATGGTAATTGCCAGGGGCTGAAGGGATGGAGGAATGAGAGGTAGTCTGGGAAGATGAAAAAAGTTCTAGTAATAGATGGTGGTGATGGCTGCACAACAGTGTGAATGCACTTAATGCCACTGAACTGTACACTTGAAAATAGTTAAAATGGTACATTTCATGTTATGTACATTTTACCACACACACACAGAAAAACCCCAAGATTAAAACCTTCAAAATCTAATTAGTCTGCTTATCCTGTTACCTAGCTCAAAAGAACAGGAGATCTGCCTTGCTTGAAATCTTTGAAAAGAATCGATCACCCTTTTCTGAATCCATCTTGGTATGTGCCAAAGGAAAACAAGCTCTACTTTTTTTTCTCATTTTATCTTAAATCTTAGATCTACTAAGCTGTCATGAAAGAAGTCAGTGATGCCTGTCTCCTTCAAAGCAATGGTCCTTAATCATTTAGGGGTTACAGATGCTTCTGAAAAATCTGATAAAAATCACTGACCACAGTTTTTCTCCTGAGGGTAATGAAGCTGCTTCATCTAGTTCATAGGTTAGTCTCTCAAAGTTTATACTTTGAAAAGAACAAAGAACCGTATGTTACCGAATTATAAACAGAAGTAGGAACTCAAGGCTTGCCAACAAGTCAGGCAGAAGAGTCTACATTTCAGCCCACTTGCCTTGGCAACATCCCACCCTACTGTCCCTGGGCCTTGGGACTATCAGCACACTCAGGAGACCCAGGCTGAATCCACGTGTCCACCCAGACAAAACCAAGATGGACCAGGACCCCCACAAGGCTTACCTCATGCTGGGAATGGCATGGTAGCCCAGTCGGAAGCGGAGTTTGCTAGATCCAGCAAAGTCTGCAATCACCTTTTCCCCCATAGTGTGCATGTGTTTGAGGAGCTCAAGGTGTTCTCTGGTCACAGCCTTCAGACTGGAAATGGAGGCCCACGGTAAGACCAGCCAGTGGTGACGAGCCTTGGGGTATTTATCCTTAATCACCACCACCTGCTCATCTTTGTAAACCTAGCAGAGGGGCACAAAGAAGGAAACAGGCAACTACTGCATATCTTACATGTGTCAGATGCTGTCACATTCATTAACTCAATTCCCACCTCAATCTTGTGCTGAAGTCTTAGCATTCTAATTTTGACAGACGAGAGTACAGAGACTCAGATAAGCTGAGAGTCTTGCACCAGGTCACACAGTTAGATAGTAGTGGGAAATCTAGAATTCCAACACAGATCTAGTTACTCCAGAGCCTGTGTTTTCAGTCACCACACTACACAGAACACACAGAAGAGGTACCGTACAAAACAGTTCCCAAGAACCTGATGTAAAATCCCTGCAGGCATAAACTCAAATGTTTCTCCACTCGGCAGACCACATCACATCACATCACATCACACACACACACACACACACACACACACACACACACACACACACGTGTGTGTGTGTGTGTTCCAAGTAGCCCTATCAGATCTTGCCCCTTGTCACCCCAGGATGTAATTTAAGAACTCAGACCCCTCCCAGGATGATGCCTGACTAATAGTCTCAGAGAAGCCCAGTAACTTTAGTCATAATACATTATCTGATGCTCTGTTGAAAGGGACCACACTAAGTGGAACACAACTTCCCTTAACAGTACCCAGAAGTTTAGGAGGAATGAGGCAGAGGAAACATTTGTTAGAAAAACTTAGCTTCTCTCCAAACAATTCCAGTTGCTAAGTTACTGACAATGAGAAAAGCCACCTGATCTCACAAAATAACCCAATAAAATGAATCTCATTCAGACCAACTGATCTCCTTTGATTTCATTTGTAGTTATGAGCTCTGTGGAGTGATCATTTAAAACGTGAAATGTGTTTCAATACCCAAATTTTATTCTGACCTGCATTTTGGGGTCCTCCATTGAAATCTTCAAGCCTTGACTCCAGTGGCCCAATGATTTCTAAAACAAAAAATGGCAATGTAAATCACAAATGCTGATAGTTAAATTTTGCATTAGTTAATACTGTTATGTTAACAGAGTCCAACCAAACTTGGAAATAAGGTTAGTTTTTAAAAATTAAACTATATCTCTTTACCTCAATCTTCTGCCTTTATAACCTATAAGCCATCTCCTTTCTCTTCCCATACTCAGAGCCCTATGTCTAGACAGAGCTTGGAAATGCCAGTGTGTGAACTGCATCTTTGCCCTCTCCCTTTCCATCAACAACCTAAGTTCCCACTTTGACATCAGGATGTAAATCACATGACCTATGTACAGTGTTTCAATGTTCACCTTCTATAGGTATTCACATGACTGACCCATTTTAGTAGCTCAGTGTTAAACACACTGCCATTATCGTCCTACCTTCAAGTGGCTTACCTTAGGAATTCAAGAGAAAAGTACATAAAAGGACATTCACCCAAGTGACTGGTGACACAAACAAGTGACTCTTTCATCATGGTTAATAATCCCTTATGCGTCTGGGCTTTACAGCGTACAAAACAATTAAGCAGTCATTACACCTCGTTTAATCTCTACATCATCTATCAAGGTCACTACCCTCACCTTTTTGGTGGATTCATCTTTTTCTTTCTTTGGGGGCACAGAGTACTGGCTAGGGTTGCTCCCAGGTTCCAGTCTTGTACTGGGCTCAGCTTCCTGGGCAGCAGCCCTTTCTGCAGAATCACTGTTGCCTGACATCTTTCTCTTCCTGTGTGGGTCCAGGCCAGGGCTTTTTGCCTCTTCTTCAAACTCTATAATATATGGATAAAGTTCATTCACCATGTGGAGAATCTGGCCAGGCTGCAGCTTCATCTCTTGGTCCTTCCCAATTATGACTGAGTCAATGCTGGTGGGATTGACCCCTACCTATGGAATAATCAGAAAATAATTATAATGATAGCAATAACACCATTAGTACAGCAGCCACTGCTATGTTAACCACTTACTATGTGCCAAGCAGCATGCTTAATATTCACTTACTTTACGCTGTCACTTCTACACATGACAGAGAAGCCTTTACTGGCTGTCACTGACACTCCAAAGTCAAAAGCATAAAAAAATCAAGTATAAAATGGAAATCCAAGTTACAAACAGACATACCTGCTTTACCTTGACATATCCTTTGTTACATTCTGCTTTCAACTGAACTGAAAGAGATTGAAAAAAGTTAAACTCAAATGCCACAAAGAATCAGGCACCTGCTCCTGTTCTCCTTACAACACAGTGAAGCCTCACTCCAGGAGGCAATCTGACAAGGGTTTCCTCAATGGCCTACAAGCAAAATCATGTTATTCAGGTGACTAGGGCTCCAAGTCCTCCCATAAAATGCCCAACAGTGTACATACTCCCTTAGCTACTGCTAATACCTCTATTCAGCTTCACTGAATCCCCATAAGTCTTCCTATTCCAGAGCCCTTGGCCCACTCGGGATCACAGGCTCTGCAGTCAGGGAAAGGGGTCCACTTGTCTCACAAGCTCTTAGCTCAGGATTAAATCAGGCTTCCACTATTATATAAAACTTTCAGATGCCTTCAACAGAGAGAGGTAAAAGATACATTCCTGGAAGACAGAAGGTTAGCTGGCTTTGGGTAGGAAGAGTGGAGAGAATATCCTTTCTAGAAAGAGGACTGCAAGGACAGAACAGTCTGAGCATGTGTGGGAAGAAACAGCACTAAACGCTCATGTTCAGATAAGTGAACAAAAAGTTTCTGGGCTAAAATAAGGAGCAAAGAGACACCACAGCTGCTCTCTGAGGACAGGCAGAGGACAGACTGACATAAACATTCCTACAACTGTTGTTGCAACAAGGGGTATAGAGAGTAAGAAGCAGTGTCTGCCTCTGTATCTTTGGCTTAGTCAGCTCAAGCATGGCTTTTTTTTTTTCCCATTTAGATTAACTCACATGGGAAAAATCATAATCACTGTTGCAAACTCCAAGCCTTGGGAAACCCTGCTACAGAGAACATACTGCAATCAGAGGCCCAGTAGCAGGGAGCATGTCTGGAGTTTACAGGTAAAAAATGAAGTACATGGTAAAGCTCTTTCCTAAGGACTTTCACTTTATTAAATCCCAGGAAAGACATTTCAAGAGCTGGATGCCACGGTCTTTTAAAGATACCACCCTCTGTGTGCGGCAACATGTAAAGGATGGAACCACTTCCCAGAAGCGGTTTCAACCTGGAAATCCCAGAATTCAACTGTCTCACTGCCCAACGAGGACTCTCCCTAGGCAAAGCAGAGTGCAGGCCTCAGTTCCACAACCCATAGTACAGTGTGGAACCTGTACCTGCTCCCAATATTAGTGGAATATTAACCACTCTCAGAGGGTAGAATCTGGTAGTGTTGGCTAAAAGAGCTCAGTTCCTGAGTTTTGTTTATGGCACACAGAAGGTTTTCCCTCAAGAGCATCCAGGAAATATGCATCTTTGATTATCACTATCCTTATCACTGAGGAGCCAAACATGGTAATCTCCACATCCCCATGACTAGTTACCTTGCTGTCGAGAACATTTCTTGTCAGTGATCTTGGTCTCTGGACCACGCCCTACAACGACTGCTTTCAAATGTGGCAGTTTAATTCGCTGGTGCCGGTTGTCCTGTCTCACCAACCAGCACACCCGCATCATTACTCTGAGAGATGAAACACAAGAGAATCGCTGGAAAAACCAACACAAGTCCTCCAGGATCACACCCCAGCACCACCACACATGCCATTTATCAGCTGTTCATCTTGAGGCAAGTGACTGCACCTCCCAAGTCTCAAATCCTCACCTGTAAAAAGTCATAATGACAGGACTCATGAGGCTGTTGTGAGGATTAAATAAGATAATGTGAGTATTTACCTCTGTGCCTGAATCATGCTAAGCAATCAATATTTGTTACATTTATTGAGACACTCTATGTTCTAGGCATTGGGCTACATGCTAAGGATCAAAGAATGATGAAACACTGCCCCATCCTTCAGGGGTCTGGGGTACAGTGTGGCAGACAGACTCATATACCAATTATTACAACGTAATGTCATAAGCACTATAAGGGAGTAACCAAACATGGCATTAGCCTAGGGAAAGGAATGACTGACTCTTGCAGGGAGTGTTAAAAAAGGCTTCATGAAGAAGGGATATTTATCCTGGGTTTTACAGGATGAGAAGGAGCTTGCCTGGCAGAGAACTAAGGACAGAAGAACAGAGGATGTTCTTCGGTCCAAAGGCATTCCTATGTGTATTAGGTTAACTGTCATAACATACTGATGTTAGAACAATACATTTTACTGCCATTGGCCAGAAGACTGTCATAAAAAATACACAAATCTGCAGTTTCTAAAGCATGAATGCAGCATCTTTGTGCACTACACAGCCTGCATAACATGAGTGAAGGTGCTGGTGTTCTTCTGAAAAGTAATCTTCACAGTCATGTAGAGTAGCAGTAACAGAGAAAGAGAAGAAATTTGGGAGAGAGATGAGGCCTGACCAAAAGCAAAACAAAGGAGACGGAGAGAAAGAAGGGCCAGGAGAAATTGTGAAGGTAGACTTAACTACTGACTGTATTTGGGGAATGACAAAGAAGTAAAGGGAGATACCAAGATTCCTAATTTGGAAATGCTCATTAACCAAAACGATGAATACACAAGGAGACAATTTGGAGATAAACAGCAGGTGGAGAAGGGATGATTTCAGACTGAAACACAATTAGATCAAGTTACGTGTAGAACATCCAAGAGTCATGCTGCAATATATGGGTATGAAACTCAAGAGAGAAATGGACTGAATGTGTGTGTGTGTGCGTGTGTGTGTGTATTTTTGAGACTACAAAGAGCTTTCTTTGGGGTCTTAGGAATTACAATTCAGGAGACACAGTTTCAAGTAAAACCAAAAGTGTTTCATGGAAGAGAAAGAATCAGGGGCTTAGACAGGGAAAAGCCACAAGGTTGTTAAAGCTGTCTTGTAAGAACTGACTGGCTCTGACGCAAGAAAGAAATATTTGTCCTTAACTGAATGTAGGTATTTGAGAGGCATCAACAAGTCATAGAAGAGTAAGGTTGAGATCACGCCGGGAGGCAGAGCAGGGAAGTGTGTGGGAGGGACAGGACCAGATCTTTGGGATGCCTCCCCAGACTCCAGAAGCTTACCAATGCTCGAGCCTCTAATACCCTCTCTTTGAGAAAGGACCCCTGCAGGCAAGGCAGCACTTAGCAGGCCCTCTGCAGAAGCTTTGTATCCAAAGGGGAGAGAAAAGAAACCAGATTTTTAAAAATTGTAGTTTAACTACCATCTGCAGAGACAGGATAACACAAGGCAGTGTGAGCAAATGAGTGCCAAACTCTGAGCCGCACGGTGAGGAAAAACGACAGCTGTGTGTAGGCAGGCTGGAGTGGAGAAATCTAGAGTCAGATAATAGTCAGGAAGCTGTGACCATAATGTGGGCCAGAGAGAGGTCCAAAAAGTTAAGCAGGCTTTGTGCAAGAGCATGAAGAATCAGCTGTAAATCTAAAATCCTAAACTCAGAGCCTCAAGTGATGATGGCTACAGGCAAATCCCACTTTTAAATGCTACGTGTTCAGAATGGCATCTGTTTGCACTTGCTGGAAACTGATGAATGAGCAGGTAATGGACTGAGGAGTATGGCTTTATTAAGCACTGGGAAATGAATCATGTGGTGACTGACTATTCACAGTAATAATAAAAGAAGCCTAAAAAGAGAACGGTTAGAAAGGAGGGAATACGATGGACAGCTGAGATCATGGCTGACTTTTGCAGGATAACAGGAACTACCCCTCCTGCCCTAAATAAACACACATTCACATGCTTCATTCCCCCTAAAGTTCTGAAGTTATGATGTTCCTATTTACTACTCATTGAGAAGCTGAAGCAGTGACTATACGATGCTCACACAACTAACCTTAAGCAATGTCTTGGCCCATTTCAGCCACAGATTTCAACTTTTAGGAATGAAGCATTTTAGAATATGGGGAGTATATAAGGATGGATGTTTGTTCCTGAACCTTCAATATGATCCATCCAGTAAAAATCCATAAACTGCAAACTCCATGACTGCAGAAGTCAAGCCTGTTTTTGCTTCCACTATATCCTCAGCACTTACTACTTGGCATACAGCAAGAATATAATAAATATTTGCAAGTGAATGGCCAAATGATAATCCTATCCAGGTTCTCTTCCCTTCCTTCTCTCTCTCCCCTCCTCCAGGTCCTCTTCTTATGTGGGCGCTTTGTTACTCTGAGTAACTCCATCCTCACATCTATGTGGATAAACCCTAATTCTCTCTTTTCAGCCCCATACTTTTCATTCCAGAGTTGTGGGGATTGGTCAGAAAGAAATTCTGATTATTTCTTAAGGGACCCAAGTGATCTGACAGGCCACACAAGGCCAGAGATCTGATAACCTGGAAAGTGCTGTCCAGTAAAATTTTTAGCAATGATGGAAGTGTTCTAAACACCAACAGATCCACCACGTGACAATCGAGCATTTGAAGTGTAGCTGGTGCGACAGAGGAAATGAATTTCTTACTTAGTTTCTTTTAAATTTACCTTAAATTTAAAATTAAATAGCTACATGTGGCTGAAGGCTACCATAATGTCCAGCACAGACCCAGAAACTTGCCCGGCCCTGGTCAATTCCAAATCCCTCAGGTCTGAAGTTAACTTTCATACTCTAATCCCACAGAGGTTACTTATTTCGCCTCCCACTTCTTTTCATAGAACTAGTCCCATTTATCCATCCCTCTCTCTCCTCCCTTCTCCCAGACTCAAACACATGCACCCTCACACACACATACATCCTTCAGGAATGACGTACTGAATCAGGACTCCCAAATGAGTCATTCTTAATATGATCTCCTGGTACTGAATTATACACTTTTCTCCCTCCAAGAAAACCAAATCTTTCTCAACTTCCAAGTCCCACCTCCTCCCTGAGGCCTTCACGGAGCTGTCTTCTGTACATCTTGTTATTGGGTGTGGCTGATTTACCTTCTTTGAAAATTAAACATGGATGTAATCTCACTGGCCTACTGAGATTATAATCTCCTTGTAAACAGACTGCATCCATTCAGGAAATTCAGAGGAAAGGTCACTGGACCTTGCTGGTCTAGGCTTGGTCTGATCCTGTACTTCTGGATCCCCTGGTGTTCAGCATACTTGTATCAAGTGCACACTATGTGCCAGGCACTTGTCAAATGTCTTACTTACATTATCTCATTTAATCTTCACAACAACTCTCACTCTAAGGAAAATTTAAGTCTTAGAGAAAATAAGTAACATATTCAAGACACATAGCCAACATGTGCCAGAGCTAGAATTTGAATTACTCCAAAGAATGGGTTCTTACTCACTACATCATATTCTTTCTGTCTTCATTCATTTGATCATTTAAGCAAAATTACTGCATGCTTACCACGTGCCTTGTGCCATTCTGGTGCTGGGAATAAAGAGATATTACACCTCACTTATATGTATGATGCAGGTATAACACATCAAACCTGCCTTCAAAAGGCTCAGAAAAACTAAAAACAATTGTAACATCCCTTACACCATACACAAAAATAAACTCAAAATGGATCAAAGACTTAAACATAAGACAAGATACAATAAGCTTCCTAGAAGAAAATACAGGCAAAACATTATCTCTCATACATCTCAAAAATGTTCTCCTAGGGCAGTCTACCC